TGGCGACGACCCCGGCGTTGGCGTTCATGGTTCAACGCCGAAGGTGGCCAAGAACCGGCCGACATCGGGCGATCTGCGCCATCAGAGAGCCGCGCGTGCTCAATGAGGTTGAACGATCCCCGTGTCGTCACTAACCAACGCACTGGTCGTCACGACGCGAACCTGCCGTACCGTAGCGTGTGAAGAGCAGTTGGTACAACATATGTTGTCCGCCATATGGGACGGTTGTCCCATGGCGACTGGCAAGTTTAGAAGCTTTCCAGGCGCCCTTGGAGAGGCGTCCCCGATGGCAGAAATGCGCATTCTCTTGAACAACTGTGTCCTGGAGCTCGGGGCCTTTTAATTACCTTGTCCGTGGTTCGTCCGTCGTCCGCCCCCTCCCTCTCGCCCCTACCCTGGCCTTCCTGGCGAGTCCTCCCCCCTAGCCGTCACCCCGTTCCTGGCGAAGTCCTTTACCCGTGCCCCCCCCACCCCCCCCGCTTGAGCCGTCTGTCTCTTGCCGCTCGCTAGTGCAAGAACTTGGGCACGCGTGCCACTCGTTTTCTTCCGCTCTCCTTGCGGGGAGCACTACGAGACCCAACCTGGCGAGCAATCTGCCGCAGCGCGAAAGATCACGACCAGAGCCCCAGACCGCAAGTGCCCCACCTGTCTGCGGCACCTCTCGAGCCGCATCGGTCCGTCCTGGCCCCGGGGCCCGAAACCCGAGCGAGCGAGCGAGAGACGCCCTCGCGACACGGAGCGTTGCGGCGCCCGGACCTCGACATTTCGACGCGCGCCGCGCGCCCAGGACGAGCCGTAGCGCGCCGAGGCACCGCGGCGCGCGCCCGGGGCGCCCGGCCACGGCCTCCGCGGGCGGGGCCCCGCCGCGCGCCCCCGCGGGAGCCACCCCGCCGCGTGGGGCGCGGCGCGGCTCGCGGCTCGCGGCTCGCGGGAGGCCGCGCACGCGGAGGGTCGCCCCGCCCTCGCTCCTCTTCCTCCTCCTCTCTCTCTCCTCCTCCTCCTCCTCCTCCTCCTCCCTCCTCCTCCTCCTCCTCCTCCTCCTCCTGCGTCTCGTCGTCGTACTCCTCCTTCTCTTGCGTCTCTCCTTCTCCCGCGCCTCCTCCTCGTCCGCCTCCCCATCCAACTCCATCGCTCTCCTCCGGCGGCGCGGTGTTGGAGTGAGCTTCAGGGGCAACGATGGGGGCGGGAGGGGCTCGGGGGGAGAGCTCGAGGCTTCGAGGTTGGAGGTTCGAGGTTTGGCACGGTTTCGTCGGTTCTCGGCGGCTTACCAGCCGCGGGATGCCTTCGGCAGCTGCGCCTCGCCAAGGGCGTTCCAAGGGTGCCACAGTCGTCCCGAACGGCTGCCGGAGAGCCGAGTTTTGGCCCAAAACTCGCCGGGGCACGGGGATAGGCTCAGGGGGGGATGCATCGACCCTCAATCGCCCATTGATCGCCGGTGTGGGTCTGATAGTCCCACCCCGCTTAGGATCGTGCGGATTTGCTATCGTGGGCCAGACGCCGATCTGTCTGAGATATATCGCCGATTCCAGGTCGATGTTCCCCCCCCTGAGCTGGTCCCCTCCTATCGATGCCCCTGACCAATACCTGCGGTGTGTCTCCACCGAGGGAAGCTGGTCCCGATCTCGGTGGTGGTAATGATAGTCGGGCTTCCCAGGTGGCCGAAGGACTACCACCAACCTCAAAGTCTAGGATCATCTTCCCCTGGTGGAGGAAACCCCCTGTGTTGGTGATGGTGCCAATTTCCAGGCCTCCAATAACCCTTCTGGCGCTGCAATTTCTTTTGCCTCGTTGCGGGCCCTGGGCCCAGCACGGATCGGTCCGGCTCGAAAGATGCCGCAGAAAGATGTGGTCTGGGGCTCCAGACGCGATTGTTCACAATGTTGCAGGTTCCTCGCAGCGTGGGATCTCAGGGATGGTCCTGGTTTGGGCCAGCCCGCGCCCACCTGGTGAAGGCAGTCCCATCGTTGACCCTCACGGCCACTCTGAGAATCAGGGATTTTCTCCCAACGCGCGAGTTTGCCTAGTGGCCTAGGCCTGGGGCTATCGCTGGTCGATCCGGTTCGAGCAACGCCGCGGAAGTATGGGGTGGGTCCAGGGCTCCCGCCGAGATCTTCTGCGGAGTTGCATTTTTCCGTGAGCGGCGCGCGGCTCTGGGTGGGTTGGTTTGGGCGGGGGGAGGGGGCGGAGGGAGAAGGAGGCGGCGGCGGCGGACGATGGCTGTGCCGAGAAGACGTGCTCAGCTCTTGCAGCTAGCAGGAAAAACCTCAGGGCCTGTACCGAGGATGTGGGCTTCCCGGGGCAACACGCCGCTGATAGAAATGGAATGTCAACGGGCCTAACCGAGGGGCGACGCGCTTGTGGCGCTTTTCCCGAGCTGCGGCACGATAGGCAGCGATTCGGGTCAACTGGTCAGCTGTGAGGTCGGGGGGGCAGGGGGGGGGGAGGAGGGGAGGGAGAACGACCCCATCTTCAGGGATGCAGAGAGACTCCTCGGCCTCGTAGGGCTGGGAGGCGGGCGTGGCGCCCGCAGGGGCGTCCAGCGGCCGCGCAGCGACCTGCGGCGGTGAGAGGGCAGGTTCCTCGGCGGGAGGGGGGAGGAGCCAACAGGAGGCGAGGGCGAGGGAGGGAACCACCCTGCAACCTCCGGGTCACCCCGTTTCCTGGAAGTCGTGGTCCGAGCAAAGTTGGGTGCCTCTCAAGACTCTGGTTCGCCTGACAGCATCGCTTGAAACTATAATAACACTGTGCAATCAGTTTCCTTTCTCCCGCCTCAGGGGCCACAGCTGAGGTGGGGGGAGACGGCAAATCGTCTCCTGGGTCGGCGGGCCACGCGCTTTGTTCTGCATCATGCATTGCCTGAGCTAGTGCTGCGCACATTCGGTTGGGGAAGGCCTGTTGGGAGCGTGTCCTGAATGTTTTGTTGTCCTCCTGGTTGCCCAAAGGTGTGCAGTGTACCACCACGCCGTGATAACATCTTCCCCCATTCAGCAGTAAGATACTGGTGCATCTTCGGAAGCCGCAAGGCGAGGATCCTATTGGGTGCTCTTCAGATGGTCTCTGGCAAAACGTCCTGCAAGGTGCATTGGTCAAAGTCGATGGTGCTGATGCAGCACTCGAGAGATCTTCATGGAAGACAAGATGCCGCTTGCGCTTTCCAAATTGCCGGCTGAGGACGCTCCAGCCATGCACTCGTGCCTGCTCGTACGTTCTCTGCCATGAGGAGGGCCAGTGAATTGAGGAGCTTATTTCCTATCTCCAGCTGTAGGGCTTGTGTATCCGTACCCCAAGGCACACTCAGTGATGTGTGTGTGTCCTCAATGGGGAGAGCCCAACCTCCCAGCGTGCAGCGCTCCAAGTCTCACATGGGGGCCCCCCCAGCCCAGTGACCCAGACCTGTCGTGCTCTGATATGCAAGGCCAACATCTCGAATGTGTCGTTACGCGTGACGTCACAACGCATCGTGTCGATGGCGATGCCTACGGAGAGTACCGTGCATGTGATGCGCCCGCCCACGTTCATGTTCTCTATGTGGTGCTGTATGTTTCCCGTGCGTCTTCTCCCACAGTGCAGATTTAGTGTGTACACCCCCGTTCGTTTTATCCTCCATGGCATGTGCTGTGTAGCCGGCTCTTGAGAATCCTGCGGTTGGAAGAGATAATGACTCTCCTGCGCGGGATCGATAGCCTCCGGAGGCTGTGGCGCTGGTCGGTCGGTCCGAATGTTCGTCATAACCATAGTGCCTCTGGCGTAAGTTCGTAGCTTGATTCCCGAAGTGCGTCCCTGTTTTCTTTCTCTTTCAAATGTGAAAAAAACCCACGCCGATTCCCACAGCATACCGTCGGCACACTGTGCTGAAATATCCGGATGCGCCGCCTCCATCGTCCTAGACCCGCCTTTCGCTGCTCTTGGCCGTGCTGACGGTCCTTAGCTGTTGCATCCGCAGCGGCTGAGGCTGACAACTGCATACCGTGCATGAAATGCGAGAGGCAGCATCGCGAGGATTCGAAAGCTAGATGGTCCCGAAGTTGTCGCCTAGATGCAAATTCTGCAGCACACGCTCTGTGTATTGCTGTAGCACCCATCGCATACTCCACCTGCGATACCATGGCGTAGTGTGTACATATGACATGTTTTTTGAGCGCCCTATCTTCCTGGAATGCTGTCGAGCACCATGGACACGTTTATATGATGGGCTCCTCCCGTACGCCTGCTCTGAGAGGGTGGTCTGCATGTTTGACTGGAAGGGGGAATCCGGTGTTCTGCACTATCTGGAAGAAGTCTCTTTCGGCCTTGCGAGCCAGCACTGCCCGTGTGTGAACACGGTCGCTCCGCGCTGTGCCACGTTCAAAGCCTGTCGCCATGAGGTAGTGAAGCCTTGATACGTCGCTCCCAGGGGGCCAAGTCGTCACATGGGTTGGGTAGCTCCTTGTAAGCCTTGTGTGCAGAGCCTAGCCTTTGTAGGTCGTCTAGTATGTGATGTATCCACGTCTGCTTCGTATATTGATGTTGTGTGGAAGACGGAGGAGGAGTAGGAGGAGGAGCAGGAAGACGAGGACGACGCTGCTGATGATGATGTAGTTGTTGCTGCTGATCTTAGAGATGATGTTGATGGTGATGACCATGGTGATGTTGATGGTGATGGTGATGGTGTGATGGTGATAATGATTATGATGATGCTGATGTTGTTGTTGTTGATGATGATGATGAATATGGTGGTGATGATGATTCCTATTCTAGATGATGGTGGAGGTGACGATGATGACGATGATGATGATGATGCTGCTGATGATGATGATGAAGATGGTTGTGGTGATGATGATGATGATGATGATGATGATGATGACGACGATGATGATCAGGAGGAGGAGGAGGAGGGAAACAATGCGAAGTGTGGTCATCCGACTTGGGCGTGGTCATCGGACGCCCCGTCCCTCAGCCATCTTGGCTCAGACCTCCCACTAGTTTTTGTTCGTCAGCAGCGCGCGGCATTTCTGTAGAGGATGAGACCCCTCGTCGCCACGACAGGCCTCCCAGAGGGGTCGATGTAGATAGGGTCGGAGGGTCGCGCCGCGTCGCCGAGGTATTGGCGACGCGGCTCGATATGGAGCCCAATCTTCTCCACGCCGGCGTCGCCGATGCATCGGTGATGCATCGCCGACTTCGCCGATGCTTCGCCGATGCGTCGGCAATGCGGCGCGACCCTCCGACACCATCGACTGGGGCCCACTTCCACTTGGGAGGCCTTTAAAGGAACCGATGCCGCTGCTCGTCTTGTAGAGCCGTCGTCGCCACGTGGGTAACTTTCGTTCCTCCATTCTGGCTCTGGGGTGGCCGCGAATGCTGGGCCCCAGAGGCAAGCTGAAACGGATCCGGACGAAATACGATTTCCCCGTGGAAGGTGCCAGGAGCTCCTGGGGGGCGCGGGTCGGCCCAAAGCCCGCAACATCGCGAAAAATCACGACCAGAGTCCCCGACAACATCTTTCTGCAGTAAGTGTCCCAGGGCCCGCAACGAGGCAAAATCGCCCGTAGTGAAAAAATGCAGCGCCAGAGCGGGTGTGTTGGAAGCCTGGGTACCAGCACATACCAGCACCAACACAGGGGGGTGCCTCCACCAGGGGAAGATGATCCTAGGCTTTGGGGTTGGAGGTAATCTATCGGCCACCTGAGAAGCTCGATTATCACCACCGTCACCGAGATCGGGACCATCTTACCGCGGTGGAGGCACACCGCCGGTACTGGTGTTGGTGCCAACCTCTCAGGGGCAACGATAGGAGGGGACCAGTTCAGAGGGGGAAACATCGACCTGGAATCGGCGATACATCTCCGATAGATCGGCGTCAGGCCCCCGATTGCGAGTCCGCACGCTCCTAGGCGGGGTGGGGTTACTTCGCCACCGCGAAAGTTCGGCCAAGATGCAGTACCTTCCGTTAGGGGACGGGGCACCGGTAAAACGTTGTCGGTGGCTTTGCGGGGCCCGTTGGGCCGCGGGCTCCTGTTCAAGCCGTGTTTTGCTCATCAAGTCTCGGGCGTAACCGCCCGTTCGAATTCGAGCCCGATGGTGTCGAAGTCCAGTCGAGCTCGTTTTTGGCGAGTCTCAAGCGAAAACCACACTTTCGAGATCTCTTGTCCTGAACTTCAAGTTTTAAATGCCAGACGGTGTGGCCATTTCGAAACGACGGCTTCGCCTGAGACGTCCTCACAAAGAACAATTTCGAAGGATTTCGAAACTATTGGGTTCGGTTTCGAAATGGCGTTCCCGCCCAAGACTCCCTCCAAACCAGAATTCGAAACCTTTCTGGCTCGATTTCGGAATGGCGCTTCCGACTAGGACTTTCTCGACAAAGAATTCGGAGCCTCTCGCGCCCAGGACTTCCTGAAAACTGGAATTGGACACCCTTCTGGTTCTATTTCGAAGTGGCGCTCCGGCTTTGGACATCCCGAAAAACAACTCGAATTCGCAGTGGCGCTCCCGCCGTAGATTTGTCTTAGCGGAAGCACGAAGCGGGTCAAAACTTCTCGTAGCGCCGATGTATCAGGCCCACATTGGCGATCAATGGGCGATCGGGAATCGATGCATCCCCCCCTGAGCATATCCCCGTGCCCCGCGGTTTTCGGGCATGGCTCGGCTCTCTGGCGGCCGTTCGGGACGATTGTGGCTTCCCCGGAACGCCCTTGGCGAAGCGCAGCTATTGGAAGGCATCCCGCGGCTGGAAAGCCGCCGGGAACAGACGAAAACGTGCTGAACCCTCGAACCTCGAGGCCTCGAGCTCTCCCCCTGAGCCCATCCCCCCAGCCTAATTATCGTTGCCCCTGAGCCTCGCTCCACGCCGAGCCGTCGGAGGCCCGGGGCGCGGGGGCGGGGCGACCCTCCGCGCGCGCGGCCCCCCGCGCGCCGCGAAGGCCTCGAGCCCCAGCCGGAGGGCCGTGTCCTCGGACGTCGGGGCTGCGCGGGCGGCCCCTCGGGGGGCGGTGCGCGCGCGCACGGCTCGCGGAGGGCTCGCGGAGGGCTCGGCGCTGTGCAGGCGCCCGGGCCGCGCCGCGCACGCGCGGGCCGGCGGGGCCGGCGGGCGCTGTTGGCCCGCGCGCGACGCGCCGCGGCGGTGGGGAGGGGCTCGCGCGCGCCCCCCGCGCCTCGCGAGCAAGCGCGCGTCGGGTGGTTCTTGCTGCCGAGCCGCTGGGAACCCTCGCGGAGCCCTGGGGCCGCCAGAACACGGCCCAGGATGAGATTGTGTTGTTATGCTATGGCGCGTGACAGTCGTTATCTAGGCCACACCCCTTCCTGGGTAATGGCAACGATCGTGCGCAGGACGGGGGGGCCCGGACCACCCCCCGCTCGCGCGCACACTGGCGATCGCAGCACACCCCAGCCCCGACGTGCCCCCCACTCCCCCCAGCGTTCCTGTTCCCTGGCCCCCCTCCCCCCAGGTACGACCGGCACCGGACAGGAGGAAAAACTGGTCCCAGGGAGCAGGTCCTCCAGGAGTCGACGTTTCGAGGAAGCCATGACGTTGGGGGTCTGGGGCTGGGGCGCGCCCCACCCGCGGCGCCTCGGCCTTTCGGGTAGCAGGAGTGTGCTCCCTTGCCCCTTGGCGGCGGAGACCCGACACAGCTCTCTGTGGCGTTTCGGCATTGAAGAGAGAGAGAGAGAGAGAGAGAGAGAGAGAGCGAGCGAGCGAGAGCGAGCGAGCGAGAGCGAGAGAGAGCGAGAGAGCACCGTTGAGGATACCGAAGATTTCCGAGGGTAGTGCAGGGAGTATTTCAGAGGGCATGAAAGGGAGACCACAGTTATGAGAGACTGGGGACCACACGGGAGGCCACACGGGAGTCCACGCGGGAGACCACGCGTGAAAGCATACGGGAGACCATGAGCCACCGAATCTGGGTCCGGAGCAGTTCTCACCTGGAGTAAGGACATATACATAATAGACACAGAGGCTGCAGGGTGAGGTCTGATGCGGATGAGGAAGACTCCGAAAGAGGACAAGAATGTCTCAGGGGGGGTGTGATGAGGAGGTTTGAACGGGATACTGGGGGATTCGGGTTAATCAGTGGGGCTGGGTTGGTTGGGGGGCGAAAAAAAAGAGGAGGAGGAGCAAGGGAAGGGAAGGGAAGGGAAGGAAAGGGAAGGATAATGAAAGGAAAGGAAATGAAAGGATGATGGTGATGATGATGATGATGATGATGATGATGATGATGATGATGATGATGAGGTTGATGAGGTTGTTGATGATGACGGTGTTGCTGCTGCTGGTGATGATGGTGACGGTGATGGTGAGGGTGATGGTGGTGATTATGGTGATGATAGGTGATGGCGATGATGAGGACGATGGTTATGAGTTGATAATGGTGATGATGATGCTGATGATGACAATGATGATGGTGAAGATGATGATGGTGATGATCATGATGATGACGTTGGTGAGGATGAATATGATGATGAGGATGATTCTGATGACAAGGACGATAATGATATGGTGATGACATGATGAACTTGACAAAGTTGATGAGGGTGATGATGCTGCTGAAGATGATTGTGATGGGGATGATGATGACGATGACCATGACGATGCTAATGATGATGATGCTGATGATGATGCTGATGGTGATGGTGTTGGTGATGACGATGATTAGGAGGATGATGACGGTGGTGGTGATGATGAGGATGAGGATGAGGATGAGGACGAGGATGAGGATCAGGAGGATGAAGATGATGATGATGATTATGAATGATGATGAGGATGATGATGTTGATGGTGATGATGATGGTCATGCTGATGCTGATGATGATGACGGTGATGAGGATGATGAGGATGATGAGGATGATGATGATGATGAGGATGATGAGGATGATGAGGATGAGGATGAGGACAAGGACGAGGATGAAGATGAGGATGAGGATGATGATGATGATGATGATGATGATGAGGAGGAGGAGGAGGAGGAGGAGGAGGAGGAGGAGGAGGAGGAGGAGGCGGAGGTGGAGGTGGAGGGAAGTAATGCGCAGCGTTTTCATCCGATCTTGGCGTTGTCATCCGACTCCCTGTCACTCAGCCATCTTGGCTCGGGCAACCCGGGCATCCCTCCGGCCCGCGCGCGCCCGCCTGGTGTTGCGGCGGCGGCCAGGGCCGGGGCGGCGGGTTGCATGAGGCAGTTTCTGCACGGCCGGGTAAAGAATTGGGACCAGGAGAAGCGGTTCGGCTTCATCTCCCCGCACGACCGCGGCCAGGGCCAGCAGGACGCCTTCTGCCACGCGGGGGCCCTCTGCAACGATGACTTCCTCGAGCGAGGGCAGGAGGTGCTCTACATGGTGCAGTGGGATGCGGTGAAGAAGAAGTACGCGGCCTTCAACGTGCTCCGCAAGGACCAGTGCCCTTACTGGGCGAGGGGCGGGATCCATTTCGATCCGGTCGGTTAGATTTGATATCGGGCCTGGCCAGCTCGATCCGATTCGATTCCGATGTTCCGACGATCCGATGCTGCCTGGGGCCTGCATGGCGCTGTCGTGGATCCTCGCGCGGCCGAACCGAATCGATTTCGACTCCGTGGCGATGCAGCCCGATGTGGGGCGGGTAACCACATGCTTGGGCAAGCATTTCTGGGGGTTCCTGTGCCATTTCCGCAGCGAGGTGCTCCAGCGCAAGGTCGCCGTGCTCAGGCATCTTGCGGGGACCCAAGGCTCACAACCGCCCAGTGCGATAATCGCACTGTGAGGGACCCACGGGGACGTCTAGCAATCTCTGAGATGCTGCAGCAGGCGTTCAGGGGGGGAATGTCTAGGCGCAAGAGTGTTCGAATATAGACGGGCTTCAGTTGTGACGGTCTGGTCATGAATCTACTTGCGAATTAATTGGGGTGTGAATTAGCCTCAGTTGTACGAGCGTGTCTCTGCGCATGAGCTTGGGGCCTCCTGGGGCCTCCTGACACCTACTGGGGCTTCCTGGGGCCTCCAGCAGCCTCTTGGCTCCTCCTGGGGGCCTCCTGGGACCTCCTCGGGAGGATTCGTGCCCCAGGAGAGGCCCAATTTATAGCAACAGACGTACATAAAACATTGCGTATTGGAGCAACAGGGGACGGACGATCTATAGGAACACACGTAAAACACCAAGGACTCGTGCCCCAGGAGAGGCCCAACATATAGGAACGTAAGTAAAACGTTTAGGATTGTGTGCGCAGGAGAAGGACTATCTATAGAAACATATTCGTGCTCCAGGAAAGGCCCAATATATATAGGAGCATACGTAAACCACATGGGCTTGTAGCCACTCCTGTTGCCTTCTGAGGCCTCCTGCTCCTGGGGCCTCTCGGGGCCGCCTGTTGCCTTCCGAGGCCTCCCGGCGCTCCCTGTGGCCTCCTGGGGCCTCCTGTTGCTTCCTGACTCCTCCTGAAGCTTTCTGGGGCCTCCTGGAGCCTCTTGGGGCATCCTGTGGCCCCTTGAGTCTTTCTGTTGCCTCCTGATGCCTCCTGGGACCTCATGTGGCCTCCTGGGGCCTCCTGGAGCCTGTTGGAGCCTCCTGTGGCATCCCGAGGAGAATATGTGCCCACGAGTCTGGCCATCCAAACAGGCAAACCGATCGAGGCATCCTCAACATCTGGCACAACCTGGGGGGTGAACATGAGTGCCTCGCTCGACACTTTCTCGAAATCTGCCCCGAAAGCGGAGATTGTTGGGACAGAAAACGGGCACACCGCTTGAGACATCCCCACAAAACGACCATTGACGTGACCGTGCAATACCCCTCGGCGGCTCCCCTTAGGGGTGCTGAAACCAGCGCCCCGCCTGAGACAACCTCACAATCTGCTGTCCAAGCGGAGGATGTTGGGACAGAAAACAGGCAAACCGCAACCGCTTGAGGCATCACCACAAAACGGCAGCGAACGGGACCGTGCAATACCCCTCGGCGCCCCCCGTAGGGGTGCTGAAACCAGCACCCTGCCTGAGACGTCCTCACAATCTGCTTTCCAAGCGAAGGATGTTGGGGCAGCGAGCAGGCAAACCGCTTGAGACATCCCCACAAAACGGCCGCGAACGGGGCCGGGCAATACCCTTCGGCGGCTCCCCTTAGAGGGCCCCGCCTGAAACATCCTCACAATCTGCTGTGTGTTGAGAAGGCCAGACACTGAGAAGGTCTGAGTATGAGTAAGTCTGGGTACGAGTGAGCCTCAGCATGAGTAAGTCTGAGTATGGGTAGGTCTGAGTATGGGTAGGTCTGAGTATGAGTAAGTTAATCTGGGCAGGTCTGAGTATGAGTAAGTCTAGGTAATTTTGAAGAGGAGGAGAAAAAGAGGAAGGAGGAGTAGGAAGCCTCCAAGGAATAATGAATCACTGCGTGGAGAGCTCCCCATATGATGTGCATCTATTCGCATGGACCTGTCCGCAGTGAATGTCTAGGGTCTAGGCGCAAGAGTGCTCGAATATAGACGGGCGTCAGTTGTGACGGTCTGGTCACGAATCTAAACGCGTAAAACATTCCGGATTGTGTACACAGGAGAAGGGCAATCTATAGAAACATACGTATAACATCAAGGTTTCGTGCTCCAGGAGAGGCCAACTCTATAGGAGCATACGTAAAACACATGGGATTGGAGCCACTCCTGTTGCCTTCTGAGGCTTCCTGCTCCTGGGGCCTCTCGGGGCCTCATGTTGCCGTCCGAGGCCTCCTGGCGCTTCCTGTGGCCTCCTGGGGCCTCATGTGGCTTCCTGAGGCCTCCTGGAGCTTCCTGGGGCCTCCTGGAGCCTCTTGGGACATCCTGCTGCCTCTTGAGTCTTTCTGTGGCCCCCCTGATGCCCCCTTGGACCTCATGTGGCCTCCTGGGACCTCCTGGAGCCTGTTGGAGCCTCCTGTGGCATCCTGAGGAGAATATGTGCCCACGAGTCTGGCCACCCAAACAGGCAAACCGATCGAGGCATCCTCAAAATCTTGCCCAACCTGGGGGGTGAAAATGAGCGCCTCTCTCGAGACATCCTCCACATCTGCTCCGAAAGCGGAGGATGTTGGGACAGAAAACAGGCAAACCGCTTGAGACATCCCCACAAAACGGCCGCGAACGGGACCGTGCAATACCCCTCGGCGGCTCCCCTTAGGGGAGCTGAAACCAGTTCCCCGCCTGAGACAACCTCACAATCTGCTCTCCAAGCGAAGGATGTTGGGACAGAAACCAGGCAAGCCGCTTGAGACATCGCCACACAACGGCCGCGAACGGGACCGTGCAACACCCCTCGGCGGCTCCTGTTAGGGCTGCTGAAACCAGCGACCCGCCTGAGACATCCTCACAATATGTTGTGTGTTGAGTAAGTCAGACAATGAGAAGGTCTGAGTATAAGTAAGTCTGGGTATGAGTGAGTCTCAGCATGAGTAAGTCTGAGTATGGGTAGGTCAGAGTATGAGGAGAATGAGGAGGAGGAGAAGGAGGAGTAGGAGGCGTCCAAGTAATATCAATAACCCCATCTTTGGATATGGGGAACAAGAACCCCATCTTAGGATATGGGGACAACAGGCAAACCGCCTGAGACATCCCCACGATTTGGGCGCGAACGGAGGCCGTGCAATACCCCTGGCGCCCCCCCCCTGGGGAGTGCTGAAACCAGCAAGCCGCTCGAGACATCCTCATCATCTGCTCATCGTCATCAGCATCAGCATCAGCATCAACATCTTAATCATCAGCAGCATACTCATCCATCATCCACCATCACCATCATACTCACATCATACTCGCACCATACCATGGTCATCATCATGACAATCATCATCATTGTCTAGTGCAGAGGGGGAGGAGGGGAGGGGTTCCCTTGGTCTGGCGCGGTCGGAGAATAACAAGAACCCCATCCTTTGGATATGGGGAATAACAAGAACCCAATCCTTCGGGTATGGGGAAAATCACACACATACACACACACGCAATTGCATGGGAACGGGAGTGCGCAAGCGGCCTCCCTCCTGGCCTGGACTCCGCGAGGACGCCAGCCAGTTTGACGGCGTGGCCCAGGCTTCTGGCACCGGCGTCAGGCCCGGGGCTGAGCCCTGGGCAGATAGTGGCGTTCGTACCACTGGCGGTGCGGATGGCAGCTGGGGCGGCAACGGCGCAGCCCGCGACCGCGCCGAGGAGAGCAACGGGTTCCGGAGGCAGGCGAGCAGCGGCTGGGGCGCGGACAGCGAGCGGAACGGCAACGACCGCGCCCTCACCTCGGCGCCCTGGAGGGACAAGGCTGGCGCGGCCGACGCCTCGACCGAGGTCGGCCAGGCCAGCCGCGCAGATGCCCAGCAGAGCTGGGGTGTCTCGGGCGACCAGGCCAGCCGCGCAGATGTCCAGCAGGGCCGGGGTGCTTCGGGCGACCAGGCCAAGGCAAGCGGAGCGCCTGACGCTCCAGCTCCGCGCGGCACGCTGTCGAAGGCCGATCCCCCTGCTCCGCCCAGCACGCTATCGAAGGCCGACCCCCTTGCTCCTCCCAGCACGCTGTCGAAGGCCGATCTCCCGGCTCCCCCCAGCACGCTGTCGAAGGTCCAGGCCCCGACCCCGCCCAGCACGCTGTCGAAGGCGCAGGCCCCGGCGCTGGTGGCCCCGGCGGTGACGAAGGCGCAGGCCCCGGCGCTCGCCGCGGCGGCGCTCGAAGAGCAACAAACAAGATGCATAAACACAAACTGTCGAAGGTCCGCGCGGATATCTTGGATCGTCGCTTGGCCCGCCTGGCGGCGCCTCTGGCGCCGCTCCTAGCGCGCTCCGCGCGCCAGGGAGGGGGATTGAGCGTAGATCCCCGCAATCCGCGCGGACCTCCGACAGTTTATGTGTATGCCGTTTTCTGTTCCTCTAGGCGCCCCCGGCGCTCGCCGCTGCGTCGCCGAAGGCCCAGGCTGCGGGCAAGAGTTACATCCATATCCATTGCGTCCGGGACTTTCTGGGAAGGGCCGCCAGAGGACTGAGGCGCAGTGAATCTGAGCAACGATCTCGACTCCAGAGGCCAGACCTTCATCCATACCCACCGCGCTTCGGGCGTCTGGGGAAGGGAGCCCGAAACCCCAAGACACAGTGGACATGGATGCACTTGCCCGCACAGGCCCCTCCGCCCCTGCCGACCCCCGTGGGCCTCCGGCGGGCACCCGTCCCTGCGGAGGGCACGGCGGAGAGCCCGGCGGCCGCAGGCGCCGCGGGCGCCGCGGGCGCCGCGGGCGCGGCCGTCGAGGAGGACCCGCCCGGGCTCAGCGCGCTGCCAGCGGGCGAGGACGCGGAGCGCGGCGGCTGGGGCGCCGGAGGGGGCTGGGGCGCCGAGGATCGGCACGATCGAAATGGTGCGGACATCATCGAGAGCAGAAGAGCCAGCAGAACCCGAATAGCACGCTGGAGGCGTGGCCTCACTTAGGTCCCCGTCCTTTCATGTGGGATCATAAGTCCAGGCGGTTTGGCTTAATGCGCCTGCAGAAAAGACCCCCGTACCCTTACTGTTTTTGGCCCTCCTGACTCAGGTCCCCGCCCAAAGGGTTAGGGGCAGTTTCATCGTTGATCAGAAAAGAATGTGCACAAGACCGACAGCGCTGCCCGTGTCCCAGCAGGCGCTGTCCATTTGAGGCAGAAGGCCTCCTGCCCAACAGCGGTCGCTGCTGGTTTTGGACAGCACCTGAGCGACGGAAGAAAACGGGGTCGTCTTCACCGACATTGGCGCGTAGGCCTTCCGTATAAGGTCGCGCGCAAGTGCCCTCGTCTCCGATAAAGCGTGCCGCGGTGGCGGCCCGCGTAGGCCACCGCGGAAGGCCGCTGTGTCGTGTCGCGGCAGGCCCCTTTCCTGTCGTCGCTCTCTTGCTGTTGGGCACCGTTCGATGATCCTGAGGACGTGTGCTAGCCCAATGTGTGTGTTTACCCCCTTCAGCCCAATCAGTAGATCATTACATCGCCTGGGTCGTGACGAAGGGCCTCGATGGACAAACACACGTTGGGGCTAACGCACGTCCTGAGGATCATTGAACCGTGCCCACCTCTCTCCCGTGCCCATGTCGGGCGCCCCGAGAGGAGGGCGCGGGCGCCGAGGAGAGCGCGGGCGGAGGGTGCCAGGGCTGGGGCGCGCAGCAGGGCTGGGGCCCCTCCAAGGGCGACGGCGGCTGGCCCGTGCCGGGCGAGGCGCAGGCCCCGCGGGTTGGATCGGGCGGCCGCGGCGTGGGAGCCGCCCTTCGCCAGGGGGCCTCTCGGGGGGGGTTGCTGGGAGCGCCCGGGGCCCAGGGTGCCCACAGCTTCTCGGGGCGCTCCGGGAGGCCCCGGCCCTCCGTGCCTCGTGATGGGGGTGGGCTGGAGGCCGTAGGGGTCTCCGTGGAGATCCTGTGGGCACCTTGTGCCGGGGGCCACCTCTATCACCGAGCGCGTTCTGCTACTCGCAGAGTGCATACTCGCAAATGTCCGAACAGCATACGTCTGCCTCGATGCACATCATCGTAGATCCCCCGCGCCGGATCCAGGACATTTGCGAGTATATACTTTTTGCGAGTGCTGGAACGTGCTCGTCGATTCTAGCAACACCCGAGCCTTTGGGGCGCGGCTCTGGTCCAGGCCTTCCGGATGGCGGTTCATGACCCGATTCGGGCGGGTGATGTGACCTACGCTGGGGGGTGAAGAACAGGCCCCAAAGGGGCCCTCTAGGGCCCCTTTTGGGTCCCTGGGGCCCTTTTCTCTCCCCCCCCATTTAGGCCACCCCACGTTACCTCTCGCGCGCCGCATCGCCGATGGATCGGCGATGCGGAGCCCGAGTTTCTCCACGGCGGCCTCGCCAACGCATCGCGGACGTCACCGATGCGTCACCTATGCATCGGCGGTGCATCGGCGAGGCAGCGCGATCCTCCGACCCCAGCTGCCCGGACCCGGGCTGGGAGGCCACCACATGTAGGGGGACACATCCCCAGGCGCGCAGGCCGCTGCTGCCGCATGGCATGCAGTGACTGGCAAGCCGCGCACCAAAGGCCCCTCTTGCCCAGGGGCACTGCTCGTGTAGGCGACGCCGTCCCCCCTCGCCCCCGACCCGCGCGCCTGCAGGGAGCGAGCGAGTGCTCGGCCAAGGGCGGTTGCCGGCACGGGTCTGGGCCAGGGAAACGCCTTTGGCAAAGCGCCCTTGGCAAAACCGTGGGCCGAGGGCGCCCAGGCCTTCGGCGCCGTGGCCCCATCACTGGGACCTGTTTTTTGTCCTGGTCGTTTTTGTTGCTGGTCTTGGAGCCCGGGAGCCGCCCGCGGAGGCAGAACGGTGCGGCACCAATCCGCTTTTTGCTTTCAACAGGCAGGCGCTACCCCCCAGACTCATCGATTCCCCTCCGCATGCTAAGCTCTCACGGCCTGTCTTCCGACAAAGGCCAATATTAGTTTGCCTGTCAAGCCCGTTATCGACCTCACTCGTCCATTCCAACGAATTACTTATGCGGTGCACGCGCGTCGATGTAAGGAGTGCTTTCTCCAATAGTCCCTTGCATCAGATATTGTGCGGGGCACATGCGCAAGCCGTCGCGCGCATGTGAAGACCATTCAAAAACCACTCATGCTGTGAGCGCTCAAGACGTAGCCACTCAAAAACTATGAAAAATCAGTGGTTACTGTCGCTGCTGTTTTGGGGGCCTCTGGGGACAGGAGAGCTCGTGCCGACAAAATCATGGCTTTGGCAGTGCGAGCCGCTGCCCTTTTGGGAGCTCCATGGGGCCACTCTTGGGGCCTCCTGGGCCTCTCTTGGAGCCCCTTCGCGGCGCCGTTGAGCCACCTGGGGCTCTCCAGGGCCGAGCTGTGACGCCCAAAAGGCACTCGAGCAGGCCCCGCTGGTGGCCTCTGGGGCTGCCGAGGCACCGGCCCTCCAGAGCTGCAGATCTTGGCACGCCAAACGCCCCTCCGACAGGGCAACGGATCTGGTTACGTTCGGCCTATCCCGCCATCGTGCCTGGGTCGAGGACAGGGGGCCGCTTGCGGCCTGTGCAGAGGCTCCCTGAGCTCCTCCAGGAGGTCTTCTGCTTCTGTCATGATGTCGAGGTGGCCACATGCTTGAGTCGACCTGCCGTCCTCGTCGTTGCGTCCTCGTCGTCGTCAGTAAACCTGCAGGACCGAATCGGATGTCGTTTGCTGAGGGCGAGGAAGGGAAGAAAGACCACTGTGACGAATGGGTGGTGTGTTGTTCAACGGGGAACCGTCGCCGGCTAGTCATTGCGTAGATTCCTCGTTCTCGTTCGCCTCTCTGTCTCTCCCTCTCTCCCTCTCTCCCTCTCTCTCGGGGCATTCTTTGATTCTGTGGCCCCGGTATCACAATGCGCACCCCCTTCGGGGAAAACGGTCGGTAAAGAAAGGGAGCCGTCTTCGTCGTCGTCGTCGTCGTCGTCGTCATACTCTTCCTCTTCCTCGTCGTCGGCAAAAGGAGGGCCCGGTGAGGCACGGCCAGCGAGGGACGAGGGACGGCCTCGGTTCCGTTGGCGCCGTCGTCGGCGCCGTCTCCTCTGCCATCGTCGATGTCGTCGTCGTCGTCGTCGACGTCTTGAATCTCGTCGCCGTCGCCGCGGTCGTCGCCGTCATCGCCCTCGCCGCCGAGGCCTGGGGCGGCTGGTCGGCAGCCACGGCCAAGGGCAAGGGCAAGGGCAAGGCCAAGGGCAAGGGCAAGGGCAAAGGCCGCGCCTCGCCCTTCTGAGGCCAGGCCCGCCCCCCTCTGCTGTGCCCCCCCCCATCAGCGTCACCCAGGCATACTGCTACTACGTCTGCGTCGCCTCCAATGGGGCGACGCGCGCTCTCAGACATCTTGTGGTATGTAATCCGTGTTGGGCGCTTACCGGCCGCACTGCTCAAAAAGCGATACACTACAAGATGGCTGTTCACTTTTGGTTTCACAGTACAACGGGGATGGTCTGATTTGGGAGGGGGTCAAATTTGAGCTGTATTGGAGGGTTCTGGGAGGCGTCTGAGCACCATGCCGCCCTTCCATGGCTGGCCTGGGGGGAGGGATCTGAGATGGCTCGTCTGGGAGGCTAGTGAACCCCCTCCCCGTTGTTATGAGGTTCGGAGTAGTATATGCTCGGGTCGGACGCGCGCCTCCAAGGGGGACGCATAGTACGAGTATGTCCGTGTGCGTCTCCCCCTCGCTCTCCTGCCTGGCCCTCCGCTCGCGCGCGCTCGCGCTCGCTCGCCTCCTGAGCCGGAGCAGCGGGTCTGACGCACAAAGGTCCGCGGGGAGAGGTGCAGTGGTGCTTGCAGGAGGTGGTGCTTGGATGCAGGAACTTGCGCGCTGGATGCAGTGCTTCAGAGGAGGAAGAGGTACCGATAATTACCCCTACCCTTCCTCGTTTTCAGTTTGGGGGCCTCCTGGGGGGCCCTCGTCGCCACCGCTGGATTCGCCTCGGAACCCTGGTCAGAACGCACCCCAGGAGACGTCTGGGAGCAGCGGTGGCGGTACCTTTTGTTTCCCCCATGGATGCATGAATTCTCGCGCTGGGCGCAGTTCTTGCGCGTGGATGAAGCTGCGCAGTCAGTTTCCACATGCCAGAGCCGTCGCCCGTTCAACAGCTCGTGCTCCTCCCCGCAACTGTGGCGCACCTGCTGCACGCGGCAGCGCACGATGGATCAGTGACTGCGCCTCTCGCCGCCGACCGGTCTGCACCAGGGCCCGCGGCTCCGGCTTGGACGCCTGCTGCCTGAGTTGGCCCCGGCCCTCGCCAGCCCCGCACCCCGCTCGGGGGAGGTCAAGGGCAACGATAGGGGGGAAATAGGTACGCATAGGGGGGGATACATCGACCCCTAATCGCCCATTGATCGCCGATAGGGTCCCGATGGTCCTAGTCTGCCCAGGAAGGTGCGGATTCACGATCGTCGGCCTATCGCCGATCTATCGGCGATGTATCGCCGATTCCAGGTCGATGTATCCCCCCCTATGCCAGTCCCCCCCTATCGTTGCCCCTCAGGAGGGGGGGGGCGGCCCCTGGGCCTCGCGCCCCCCCCGCGGGTGCTGCAGGAGGTGGCCCCGGCCTGCGATGCGCCGTGGGCTCGCCCCCGCAAGTGGACGCCCGAGCGCCCCCGCCTCATCACGCTAGCCCCCCCAAGGGGGCCCGACCCCATTCGGGAGGCCTCGAATCACCCCCCCTACGCACTCGGACACCATCTGTTCAGACCCCATCTGCTCAGGCCCCGTTAACTCCCCGTCCTGGAGGCCCGTTCCTCCAACCCCATCTACTCGGACCTCATCTAGGAGACCTCTACAGTCGAAGCCGATTGTTTGGATGAGCAATCTTCCCAAAGGCACCCTTGCATCCGTATCTCTTTGGTCCATCCTTGACCCCTTTCGATGACCAGCCCGGCTCGAAACGCATCGACATGGGCGTCCAAGGCCCTTGCATCCTCATCGCGCATCCACTCGGACCTCATCCAGGAGGCATCGCGGAGGAGGCGGAGGAGGAGGAGGAGGAGGAAGAGGAGAAGGAGGAGGAGGAGGAGGCGGAGGAGGAGGAGGAGGGGGGAGGAGGAGGAGGAGGAGGAGGAGGAGGAGGAGGAGGAGGAGGAGGAGGAGGAGGAGGAGGAGGAGGAGGAGGAGGAAAAGAAGGAGGAGGAGGAGGAGGAGGAGGAGGAGGCCCAGCTCGGGGGCTCGCTAGGCCCATCCCCTCGAGCGTGCCTGACCAGTCCGTAGCCATTTTGGCTCAAGTCCGTAGCGTTTGTGCTCAGGACCTGACCTTTCTGGCAAGGGGGATCCGCGGCCCCCGTCTTCGCACCTCCTCTGCCAGGTCAGACGAGGTATTTCTTTCAGTGAGCTCCTGCTGGAGCAAATTCCATTCCCACTAGGCTGTGCGCTGGTGGCATCCCTCTTTCACCATTTCCGTGCCATGGCTTTCCAGTGCGGTGGGATGGCCCCAGCCTGGGGAGGAGTGGCACACCAGTGGCCGCCCCGCCAGGCATTCCAGTCATCTCACGGAGGAGGAGGAATCATGGCGTCGAACCCCTTCGCCCGCGTCCCTGTGCCACCTGGGCAACTCTTCGGAGGATTTGGTCAAGGTGGCAATGGAGGAGGGGGCCCCCAATTTTACCCTCGGCAAGGGCGGTGGAAGTGCACCCACTGTCCGTGCAGGAAGAACGCATCGACATCAGCGACGTGTCGACACTGTGGAGCCCCTCGAGCGGACCCAGGCCACCCGCCCCGACCCCCACAAGGAGTGTGGTCGCCTGGCCAAGGTCCCCAAGGTGCTGGTGGTTTTCCTCGTCCTGCTCAGCCGGGTCTTCAGCCTCAGTCTGGGCAGTCTACACAGGTCGACATCAAGGGCTTGGAAGAGACAGAGGTTGAGGCTCTTATCGCCATGCTCAGGAAGACTGGCGACAATTCCACGGCCTCACACTATGCCAGGGTGCTCGACGCCAGGCGTGCTGCCAACAGGCAGCAGCCAATCCAGCAGCAGATCACCAAGGCTTTCAATGCGCTTCGAGCACATGAGGATAGCTTGGCCAAGGCTGTCAAGCGTTTCAACGAGATGCAGACTGCCATTGATGAGCAACGTGAACGTGTGGGCCGTTTGCAAGCTGAGTGTCAATCCGCAGAAGATTTACACAAACAATTGGTGGCGCTGTTGCATTCCAAACTTTCTGAACCCGCCCCTGAGGTCAAGGACCAGGCTAGGGACTCTCCGTGGTCTGTCCGAGCCATCCTGTCGGGCAAGTTCGAGGAGATCCCCATCACCCTTGGCGATTTGGTGGACGACCATGAGGAGGGTGCCCTTGACATCTCGGAAGAAGATAAGGCGACAGCTCAGAACTTGGTCTCAGAGCTCAAGAAGAGCCTCCAGGAGGCCACCGCTTCTTTGTTCAAGGAAGCTCTGGAAAAGACGAACAAGGCAAAGGAGGACCACAAGGCGCTGCTTGCCCGTCTCCAAGGAAAAAGGCGTAGGTCCGATACTGCTGGAGATAGTGCGGGAGGCAACGGAGTTCCTTCAGCAGCGCCCGAGACCCCCGAGCCAGCCCAGACACCCCCACCCAGGGCCGCGGCCTGCGCTGCAGAGGCGACAGCTGGCTCGGCAGAGGCGTCGTCGGTGCGACGTCGAGCTGCAGAGATCGCTGGAGGCGGTCCTGTGGCTGGGACGGCGACTCAGACGCCCAGCCTTTAGCACTCTGAAGGGCAAGGGGGGAAATGTCTTGGGTAAGGCTTCGGGTAATTTTTGGAGGGCTTTAAGTTCCGTGACCTCGCGTGCTAAAGCCATCATGACCCTTGGCCTCCAGAGCCCCGCTACCAGCCTCAGTACGCCTGTAGACACTAGTTTTGTAGAGTCTCCACTGTTGGGGTCCTCTCAGGATCCGTCTCAGATTTCCTTGACCTTCACCACGGCTAACGTCACCGGGTGGGGGTCGGGAAAAACCTTTTTGAGTAGTTGTCAGTCGCATGTTGTTCTTATGCAGGAACACCACCAGCGAACTCGTGAGGAAGTCGACCAAGCGTCAGCCTGGGCCCTCCGCCAGGGTTGGAAGAGCCTCTGGAGCCCCGCGTTGGCTGGACCCAATGAAGGCACCCGTGGTGGTGTAGCCCTCTTTGTCAAGTCTTACTTGGGTTTACATCAACTGGGGCCTCATGAACTTTATCGGGGCCGTTGTGTTGGCGGTGTTGTTCAAGTCCCAGGAGGTTCCGCTGTGTGTGTTTCCAGCCTCTACCTGATGCACGGCATCGGCCTCTCGGGCACGAATTTAGATGTGCTGAGATCTGTGGGAGAGTTCGTATCGTCTTCTGGATTGCCATGGCTCGTGGGAGGGGATTGCAACGTGGAGCCCCCCAGCGTCCAGGATTCCGATTTCCTCGAGGTGGCACGTGGCAAGCTCCTCGCTCCCGATGTCATCGGCACGTGCTCTACTACTGGAGGCATGCGCTTAAATGATTACTTCCTGGTGAGCCGCGGCCTTAGCAAGGCCACCCAATCGGTCGTCCTCGTCAGCGACTCCGATCTCACCCCGCATTCCCCTGTTTCTCTGTCCCTCTTCCCCCAGCTGGCCAATTTACGCGCCGTGGCTTTCTTGAAGCCGCCGCGGATTGGCCTTGATCGAGTGATTGGCCCTGTTCAAGCCCCGTCCGCTGGTTTTGACCGACTCAGGCAAGAGCTTGAGCAGGCCGTGCAGTTGCTCGTCAGGGGAAGGGTGTAGCCGCCAGAGACAACCTCACTCGGATTTATGGGTCCTGGGCCGATCTTGCGGAAAAAGAGTTGGTTGAGCTCACTGGCGCTTCTCTGCCTGTCCTGGGAACCCGCAGTCAAAAGCCGCGCGTCGTGTGGAAATCCCTCGCGGATTTGGACATGAAAGGCCCTCGCCACCCTGAGTTATATGCTACCCGCTGGCTGCATGCGAAGTTTACTGCTTTCTTTCATCTGCTTCAACAAGATTGTCGTGAGATAGACTTCGAGCCTGCGAAGTCAGGTGTTTTTGCTCTCCCCGCTCAGGTTTTGGCCAACACTGGCAGGCACGCTGCGATCTTTCGACAGGTGCAAGCCTTCGCCAGCTCGGCGGCTCGTGCCGCTCAGTCCCTTCCTGGTGCTAAGGACCTGCTCACTCGCATTGCGGCCGCCGTCGAGGCGGAGACTCTAGTCGCGAAGGCCAACAGTCGAGCCTCCTGGAGTCAGTGGATCAAGTGCGGAGTGGAGAAGGGAGCCAGGCGGGCCCACATGGTCACTAGAGCTCCCA